TTACATGCTGGGGTTCATATAAAAGATTATGAAAATACCATTTGTTTGAAATAGATGTGGGACTGCATGCTTGTGTATGCCTCCAAGATCTGTGTGTGTGAGCACCTTGCTGACAATTTTTTTATCCATACCATCCTACTTAGCAGTTGTACTGAACAGTTGTACTGTTCACCTTCCTCTAAACCCTGCTGTGATCTCTTCTTGGGCTGGACAATCTGTGTGAAGAGAAGGAAATGGCAGTGGTCTAGTCAGTTGTCTAGACTGAATAATTTTTTCCTGGTCCCCTGCAGAATTTACAGTAAGTGCTGTGTAGATGAATAGTTTCAGGCTGAACGTGTGTTACACAACATACTAACCCCTCTGTGCTACAGGACATGTAGTGTAAAGGGTGAGATGGCTCAGAGCCAGCAGCATCTAAAAAATGCAGAAATCATGTTGCAGCAGTGCTGCCATGTGTTAGAGATGCTGCTCAGGAAGGTTTCCTATGGCTTTCCCTAGAATTAGAAAGACACATATATAGCCAAGGGTTGAGCTGCAGCATGTGCAAGTTTGGGCTTTGGGCTTTAAAGATTAGCTCTGGTTTTCCCAGTGCCCAGGACTGTGCAGTATCATGTGCCAAATCGTAGTAATAATTTTGGTTCTTAAATGAAAAGTGTGGGTGTTTGGAGAGAAATGATTGTATGTAAGTGATGTCATGAGATGTGAAAGAAGAGAAAGTGAGCCTTTGTTTCCCTCTGTATATGATTTTCCAACTAGGGCAACCTTTGCTGCATTCAGAGGCAGTACAGGACTAACAGGAAAACAGCTGTCTGCATAAAAACCAAGAACAAGTCTTCTGTAGGATCCGGAATCAAAACTAAATAACTTGCATGAAAATAAGTCTGTGAGTCTTGGATGTAAATCTTCACTATTGATAATAAATGAAATCATTGTTTTCTGTCTGTCTGTCAACAGAAGGGCTCATCCTAAACAGGGTACAAGTCTTAACATCTGTGGGGTACAAGGTTTAAGCACTCTGCGTTACCTCAGTACATAATGTCAGCTTCTACTGTTTGATAGCCTGTGTTTATAAAGCAAACACATGCTGTCCAAGATGCCATTTCTGTTACATGAAAATAAATATCTTAAATATCTTAAATTTTACTGGCAGATTTTAATGTCAGAAATACTTACACAGTTTTAGATGGCCTGGATTAGCATTAATTAGAATAGTGAACAGTTACTGCAGACAGTCTAAGTACAGGTGCAATTATAGACACCTCCACTATAAAAGTGAAACCAAAAGATTTTAACCCAGTTTTTAATGAAGTTATATTTCTGTGTCTGTATTCCAAAACTCTGCCTTGGAAATGAAGCCATAATCAGAAAAAGTCTTGCATCTTTATCTCATATTTGTAATCTGAAAGATGGAAGGATGAGATTAATTTCTTGGGATTTGAACTGCTACTGTTGTCAAATCTAACAGGAACCTAGTGACAGAACCTCAGTGGATGCACCCCAGTAGGTGCCTCTGTAGGATTCGATCCATGGAACACTGTGGTTAAATTTTCCTAATAAATAATATTAGAACTTTTGGCAGTTGTCTCTATTACAAAACAAAAAACATCTCACAGTCTCTGCCAGTCAACACTTTTATGGAGGAGCTCTTATAGAGGAGTTGAGATCAGGTCTGTTCTATAGTGTCTTTTCCATGTAACTACCAGGGGGGGAAAAAAGGGCACTCAGAAAAAAGCTTTTCAAAGTACCTGCCTTAATACTGAACCCCATGAATGAAAATCCTGTGTAGGGAATTGATTGCATCAAATCACAGCCTCTCACTTTACAAAGCTGGCTTGTAAGAGCTCTTGCAGGAAGAGCTTGTGAAAAAGAAGAAGCTGTTGAAAAATTCCTTCCCTTCCCTTCCCTTCCCTTCCCTTCCCTTCCCTTCCCTTCCCTTCCCTTCNGGGAGCACGCCCCCGCCGCCGTGACAAAATGTGACACCTACAGCATCTCTGGAAATTATGTTTATTCTGGGTCTCTGCTCTTCTCCAAGAGCTCGTCCTTCATTTCTCCCAGCAATGCAGTATGTGAGCTCCTAAACCATCCATCTACCCTTCTCTGCTCTGCCAGGGTGGCACTGTCTGCTTTGTGCCTTGTGCTGCTGGCCCACCCGTGCATCTGCCGGGAGCAGGGGGCTCCTCCCTTCCAGCTTTCTGAAAGCTGTCTCTTGGGAAAGACAGGTGCGACACAGAAGGATGCAGGCGGATGGGGGTTTGGAGAGAAAGGAAGGACAGCCTTGGTGATCACTTTCAGGGTGAAATTTTCTCTCGGAGTATTAAAACTGCCCTGTGTTGGACAAACTGAATAAACAGCTCCTTCCTAAGATTTTGCAAAAAAAGCCAACAACCCAAACAAACTGCAAAAAACAAAACCCAAACAAACAAACAAAAAATAAAAGGCTGACAGTGGAACTAGTGGAACTGATGCAGGACCATCACATTCCTGTTTTCCACCGATTCTGGATCAGCTGGTATTGAGACAGAAGAGGAGCTTAATGCTCTGACCGTTCTCAATTCAAGGGCTGATCACACCTACTGTAAAGAGGAGACTCAGGACAAAATACTGAATTGCCACACTGAGCTCACTGTAGTTTGCATGCAGCAATTTTGTGTCCATCCACACTGTGAGGTATCACAAGGAGAGCATTATTGAACCTTCAGTCCAGAGAGTCTGGGGCATTTGTCAGCTAAATAAAGCAAATGTAAATATACACATGGAATATCTGGTGGGCCAATTGTGCAGTTTTGATCTTCTTCTGCAATTCGAAACATGACAGAAATCTTTTGATAACATTTGACTTCTGATCATTCTTTTGGGTTTGCTTTTCTAATTTTAAGCTTTGCATTATTTATAGGGCTGAAGGCAGGAAGAGAGATGACTGAATTTATAAAAATTACTTGGTTTGAATGGTTTAAGTCTCATTAAGTGTGGTTTTGCCAGCATGTACTAGGCAAGGAAAGGGAGATATTGGCATCTATTTGCACGTGATTAGAGGTCACACCTTTGACATGTAGTTGGTTTTTCTTTGCCAGCAGGATGAAAACTACTGTATGTGAAATTTGCAGGTGTCATTGCACCACTGGAAAAATTATAGGGACTGGTGAATAAAAAGCATTAAATCTCCACAGTACTAGACCTAGGCTACCTGGAATGGTTACCTCATTCCTTAATCTTAAAAATCCAATCACAGTAAGTTTGTGCCATAATGTGAAAGTGACTTTGTATCTGTTTTCCTGGTATTAACTTTAAGGGCTATATTGTAGTAGCAAGCTTTGCCAAAAAAGATTTAATTTTTAAGTCTCCTTCCACTCCTCCTGTAGTTTGCTGCCAGGTATCTCTTTAGAGACTTTTCCCTTTCCATTTCTCTGATGAATTGCAAGTTCTGTAGGGACCTGAGCATAATCATTCTCTATCTGTCCCTGGCTTTACACTCTGCTTGGCCCAGAAAGGACGAGTCTTCTCTCACACAGGAGGTTTCCAGCTCTGGAGATAACTCAGTGCTGGAATGCTCCTTCGGGGCTCTATACCCTGTCCAGAACTCTGGGGTGGGGGATCATCGGTGGTCAAAAGTCTAAGAAAATACTTTATCTATAATCTTTCTGTAATCTACCTTATAATCTAAAAGTAAAGCATTATCTTGTCTGATTGATCCCCCTCCTATCCAACAACCGTGAAGATATTGTGCTGTAGAGCTGATTTTAGAGAAAGAAGTTGTGATCTTAGCTAGTTTTGCATCATCTGTGCACCAAAATTCATACTGTATTTCTCTTAGCCCTCAGAGGGCTGAGAGTAACTGCAGCAATCAACAGAGTTGATGCTTGTGGAGAAGGGCTGTATCCCCCTGGGGAGTGTGAATGCAGAATGGAAGGCTCCAAGGGCCTTGAGAACCACTGTAGTTGGTGACCGATGGCAGCCACAGATTTTCATTGTAGTTAAGTTCAAAAGACCACTACGTGACATTTCCCATAGATGCTGAGCTGTGGCCTAGCAACAGATGGCAGCACTAAAAGGGTGTATGTGTAGACTACATTGAGAAGATTTAATTTTCTCTTTGATTCTTATTAAATGCCAGTGAAGAACCACCTCTGTAGTGTCTCACTGGGGTACAACTGTATTTGCAGTTTTGGCAATCTGTTATGTGGATAAGCTGGTTAGGTCTTGGTTTATTTTCTCTGTTGGCTGTCAACAAAATGCTTTCTCATTTCATCAAGGGCAATTCAGAAACAGCTATGGGGTATTTTGGCTTCACAGTCCTAGGGAAGAAGCTGTTATTTTTGTCTCCTTCCTGAGTTTTTCAAACAGATCAGAATTCCTGTGTATTCAAGCTGCATGAAACTAAGCACTTTAATACTCTTAGAATGATGAGACAATTATCCAGCACTGACTTGAGTGTAGCATCAGCTTAAACTCTTTGTACCTCTTCTGTAGAATATAGCCTCTTTAGGCTTTAAGTTATCTAATAATACAGTAGGATTTTTCTTTAAAAAAAAAGGAGAAGAAATGGTACTTGCAGTGTGCATGGTCTTAGTTACTGCCTGTTTCTCTCTTCAGCCCAAACTTTTGATAAATTGTCTATTACAAAGTATGTTCCTCTGCAAGCAGGCAGCTCACCTCAGTGATGTTGCTTCAGGAACCCAATATTAAACCACAGAATGAATTACACCTGGCTTTAAATGTCAGGTTTTTTGAAACCTGGATTAAAGGCACCTTACTGCAGAACATCAGTCTTGGTTTCTCTAGGCTATGAGGCTTCTTGGTAACATAGTTCAGATGGGTATCTGTTTTCCTCTGTTGTTCTGCAGTTGCAAGCATGTTTGGCCTGCCATATCAGAACATCAAATAAAAGAAATACAGTTATGATTTTTGGAAAAAATTGTCAGAGAAAAAGATCAGAGCATTGCCTAGACATCTGTGGGAGAGGAGGACCACCAGCAACAAAAAACAAATCACCAGACTAAACAGAAGTGGAAAGCATAGTCCTTTATACCCTTCTTCCCAGCCTGAAGTACATCTACAAGTTACCTAATTCTAGTTTCATTTTCATTAAATCAGTGCTGGTTTGGCAGGGTGACACTTGACTTTTAGCATAGTGTGATTTAGAAGGACAATTATTCTTTAGCTCAAAATGGCTATAACGTTTCCAGTGCTGCTAAGAAAGTAATACTGCCACTTCTTTTCTCTCTCCTTACTAACCACAGATCAGTCTCTGCTGGTTTTCTATGTGGTAATATACTCCTGAGTTTTGGAAAGGCATGTGTAAGAACACATGTGCAGCCCAGCACAGTGCCCTGTGTGTAATGCCCTGAAAGCACATCAGGACAAAGACAATACCTCTTGGCTCAGCACCCACTGTGACTGCACAGTTGATGGCTTCCAAGGCATTGAAACAGCAGGACCCTTATGGAACCTGGAAACTTTGGCTCATATGCCCCACAGCAGCCATCTGCAACAGCTTGGGGCAGCTCTGCTTCCTGGGTAATGTCTCTGCTAGACGTGCCCCTTCACTTCATCCAGGAGCAAACTTGAACATATGGCTGGTGTGAGAAGGCAGGAAAAATGCAGGATTCCATTTTGTCTCTACAAAGAGTAATCAAAATAGAGAAGTTCCTTTGATTTTAGGAAACTGCATACTTTACAAATGGAAGTTGTGGTCTACACAGGAAGGCAATTCATGCATATACCAATATACGAAATTTGCATTTATTTTTTCCCTTTTCTGCTATCTGTTATGGCTTTAACATTGCTTTGTAAATATGTCTAAAAGCCTAGGGCTGCCCACAAGACTTTCCAGCTGTTTAAGACACTTTGCAACTGTATTCATGATGTGTTTTTTGCATTTTTTGCAACACTGCTCATGATGTGGTTTTATTGCTCCAAGGCACAAGTGTTGGAACTCTCACAACCAATGACAAGTGGCTTTTAAATGACAAGTTGGGTATGGGCACCATATTCCCTGGTAAAGGAAAAAAGTGGCAACTGGTACAAACAGTGATAAAATTAACTTGGCCATGTACTTCACTGTTTGACAAGCAGCAATGGCATAATCTGCCATGAAATAGCACACGTGTTCTCATCCACAAGGAGGCAGAATGACACCGTTCATGTGAGCAAGGAGAACAACGCAAAGAGTTTTGCACCCGTCCTTGAAGGGAATCCCTTGGGAATCAGTGAAGATAAATGCTATGTTATAATAATCAGTGAAACTGCTAGATGTAGTATTCAAGTTTCTTAAAATATATTTGATTTAGGAGGTTAGAGTTCATGTATTTAGATAGAACATCAAAAAGAATTAAGAAAAAAACAAACATCTTTTCTCTGTAGTCTTACACCTGAACACTACTTGAAATACCACTGAGGAGAGCAATCTATGGGTTCTTCCTTCCAAAGAGTCTTCAGACGCTGGGTCCAGGCAGTCAGCATCTCCTTCCTCTTCTCCTCGGAGACATTCTCTGGAGCATAACAGATGTGAGGTTCAAGGACTTTGACACCACAGAAGTGCATGATTCCATGCTGGATGCAAAACAAAGAAAGAAATGCCTCAGGAAATATCTACTCTTACTTTCATTTCAAGCTCATGGAAGATTCAAATCTGTTCTGTTTCTCTGATCCAGTATCAGCCAGGTTTTCTAAACCTGTGCATTTATCAGGAGAATGGGAGTAAACTGTTGTTAAACACACAGAACTGTCCTCTTTGGATGCTGTATGCTGTTCAATTTGCAAAGATAAGGGACAGTCTAAAGTTCATTGACTTGAACCCCCTTGGTTGAACTTGGTTGAACTCCCTCAGATTGTTCCTGAACTGCAGTGTTTCACATCTACTTCCATGTTAGCTTATTGGATTTTTGGTTTGGTTTGGTTTTTAAGCTTTTGCCTCTGGCTTAGCCATATGATCCTGCATGAAGTGCAGAAGGTACATGCAGGATCTGAGCAGGTTCAGAGGACAGGATTTGTCCTGTAAACAAACACTAGTGCCTGTGGGAGTTTAGCTTGCCATTTTTCCTCTGTGTGTTTCTGAATTTTGAGATGTGGTCCATGTTTTCATCACATTTACGTGTGAGCTGCGGACAGCTCCTCAGGGGTAAGGAGCTGGTAAAGCTAGTGACTGCAGCGGGGAGGAGAGCATGCATCCAACATGATTTGGGTAACCTCGGGGAACAGAAATCCTGCATGCTGGAATCTTGTATCACCAGAGACATGGAAAAGCTGACAGCAGAAGCTTTCCCCAGATTGCAAGCTGGAGGAAGTGGGACAAAACAACTTTAAAACTCTGTAGACTTTTGAAGTGATCTCAGGATTTTAGAGCCCAGTTTATAACCCGCAGATGCTTGGAGCAGGCAACTCAATTATTTTCTATTATGTTTTGTATAAAATAATCAATAAAACAATTGTTAATAAATAGCTGGAATAGTAAAATTAAAGCAAACAGTAATCAAATATTCATATATGATACCTGCATGGGCCATAGCAGATAGCGAATATCACCTCTGATTGCATACTTCTCTTTGCTTCCTCCCGTGGTGAAAGAAAACAAGGATAATTTGTCCTAGAATTAGGAAAGTGGTGCTTGAGTTAGACATGTTTATAGAAGGGTGACTGAATAGTTCAAAAGATATTTGGGTGAACCTGGACAGCATGAATTTCTAGAGGAGAGGGTGTCCCCTTCTTTCCCAGATGCTCCAAGGATTAGCAGTTCTGAGGCAAAGATTGATATTATGCAATTACATCAATGGACTGAGTGTCTGGGCTTTGGGCAGAGATGGGTTGAAAAGAAAACAAATTATGTGTCTGACATCCTTGTGTGAAGGAGGACTGATCCTTGTTCTGCCTTATGCAACATTCAGAAAACTGTGGCTGGAAAGCCCCCTGTTACTGTATCTTAATTCTTGTCCTCTCTGACTGCAGAGTTTTTTTGCTAAAGTCCTGCTTCGAACTCAGGCTTCCTTAACCACCATGCTTCTTCTGCTTCTGTGACTATGGTATTAGCCATATGCTCAGCTTCTCTCATCTCAGTTTTAGTTTCTGTAATCGAACTAGTATTTTTCCAGTGCAGTATTCCAAATGTCTTGAGCCTGTACTCCATATGCAGCTGTGATCACTGGGGATTATGCCTATTTATGGCACTGAGGCAGACATTTCTTAAATTTAAAGAAACTGAAATGTTTGAAATTGTTAAGAACATCAGAACTAACAGAGATTAACATGCAGTGAAAGAAATATGGAACTAATATTGATTGTTTTTTGATGCTGCATTTGTTACCAAATAAGATCTATCAGAGATAGTGGGCCAGAATTTTCCAGATATATTCCCAATGCTGTAGGGAATTCAAAATGTATGAATTGACATTAAAAGATATTTCTGTTACTAAATTAAAAGCCACAGAGAGGAAAAGGTTCAAAGTAGATAGTTGTGACAGAGGTTCATACTCTGAATATTTCAGATTTCTGATTATGTTTCATAGTTCAACCTTTGACACCTGATCATAGAACAGGACTTTGACATCTAGTGTGTCAGTCATTACAGATAAGAGCAGTCCTATAGTGGTGGGAAGACTGCAGTTAAATGAGATGGATTGTTTTAAACTGTTTGCAAGCCGTATGCTACCTCAGTGCACTCTGATACTCCTAATAGATGGTAAAGCCCACATAATAGGCCAAAGAAAATCTCAAGGAGACCATTAAAATATATAAGAAATGTTGCAGTCTCCTTAATTTCCTACATTCCAGACAGTGGGAACAACCCAGAAATTCACTCAACATGTTACCAAAGCATTATTTCAGAGCAGTGTAAAGTGAGACTCTGAACAACCACAATGGAAAAGAATGAGTAAAGCCCCACAGAACATGGTGCAAGCCTTGACCTTAATAAAACAATTCCAAAAACATACCTGGAGCAAGCCACCATCGTAAGCCTTTGACAAATCATAAGCAAAGCCTTGGACCAAGACTCTGTCCATCCAGCCCTTCAGGATTGCAGGCATGTTGAACCAAAACAAGGGAAACTAGGCAAAGAGAGAATTACCTGGTCAGCACAGACAGGCTGGGCCACCCTTAGGCCTGGTTTACAGGACAAATCCTGTCCTCTGAACCTGCTCAGATCCTGCATGTGCCTTCTGCCAGCTTTCTGTCAGGAGAGGCAGTAACTGTGCCTGGCAAAAGGAACTTGGGTGCTTTCTGTTTGTTGTAACCTCAGAGCCAGACCTGAGCATCTACAGCACACCAACCCCATGGTGCATGTGAGGGCTTCCACCCAGACTAAAAGGTGGAATAGGATGAAGCAGGAGGGTGCAATTTAATTCAGGTTTAAGACTGTACAGAATCATGTCTCCTATGGCTGGAATGCAAAAGAATCTAATATCTTATTAGCAGGATTGACATCTGGTGATCAGTTCTGATCTGATAGTCTGTTGACAAATGCCAGGAGACCTTAGGAAAGAGTTATTTTCAAACCCTGCTGAAATCATGCCATCAAGCCATGTCTAAGGCAAACAAGGACACAAAGAAATGTAAGATTACTATTTCTCTTTACAGTTCTTTGGGATTTGTAGATGTTGGGAACAGAAATGGCATAGTGGAGAATAGAAATGGGCTGTAAAAATCCATTAGCAATTCCCAACAGTGCTTGTGCAACTCAGCCAGAAATGAGATCAGCCTTCTTGGGAAAGCCCAATTCCCTGACTTTGCTGGCTGCCCCAGCTCCTCACCCAGAAAAGAATCCTTGCTCTGCTTTCTGTCAGCCTGCCTGACATCCATGGTCACGTATGTCTTTGTGTATTCAGACAGGAAGTCTGGCCCAGTGTTGGGGAGTTCTTGGGGTTGCTGTTGTTTCAACCTGCATCATGGTGCTACTCAGTTTCTGGATTTGCTGTAATAATGACCTAGGTAATTGTGCTGCTGATTAATCCTGTAGTATTTCCTGTACCCCTACCTAGAGATAAAGTGAACATCATCACAACTCAATTCTGTTTAAAATAATGACCTGAAAAATCAGCAAGTCTGCTTCCTNCTGCCCTGCCCTTCCCTGCCCTGCCCTCCCCTCCCCAATATTTTGGGATTTATTTATATTTGCCTTGCTGAGGGTGATGCTGAAGGACTCTGAAGAGAATGGACTTGGAACTCACTTAGAAAATGCAACAAAAATGGTGGAGGCTGCAAGAAGGGATTAAAAAGGGCCAGATCCTGAGCAGTCTGGCAGCCATGCAGAAGCTGGTCCCAGTTTGGGACCATTTGTGTGGTATCATAGCATGTGTGTATTGTAAAAGCTTTTGAAAATGAAGCTGTGAGAGAAGGCAAAGGGACCACATGCATAATGAAATTACATAATTAGTATCAAAAGTACCACCAATCCTGAGGGACTCCCTTTCTACAGGATTTGTTTGAGCCTTCATTTCCTTCAGTTCAGTTGTATTCTGCAACTGGGCATTGTTTCATTTCCGTGCCTGTTTAGAAAACCCTTCCCTTTTTTGGTGGCCCAGACTGTCTAACACATGAGCAGTGCCATGATGTTCCCTATGGTGACTTACCAACATGTTGGCCAGGAACAGCCAGTGCCAGTACCAGCCTAAGGATGCCAAGACTGGGTAGAGGTAGATAAAGATGGAAGAATTGGGAGATGAAATAAGGTGGAGCTTAGGAAAGCCTTCAGATGCTCCTGAGTCAACAGAAGAAGGGTGGAAGCAATTGCTGCTCTTTCCCTCATCATTGCTGCCTCTCTGAGTATACCCATCCCTTCATCAGTCTCCTGCCTTTCTTTCCAGGGCTTTGAACAATACAAAATTGGCCACTTCGATATCCTCCCTGAACCTTATGCATAACATCTTCTCATTTAATTCTTCATAAATAGAATGAAGCTGTACAGTTCTGATTTTACTATACTTATATTCCCTAAAAGTATTCCCTGGGCCCAGCATGGTCCCAGGAATGGGATTCTATGTCAGCTTGTCCAACAGGCAGTGATTTGACCACACTTGTATTGTGATTTTAATCTAAATTCCTGAGAAAACGCCAAGATTCATGATTTCACCTCAAAAATCTCAACAGGTACATCATGCTGTGTTGTATCAATTTTGCTGCTTCTTGTTCTATTACTTTGGAAGAGCTTTGCCTGAATAAAGAGGTATTTCCTGCTAACTGAGCAAATCTCAAGTTTACTGATGAGTGTAAGTCTTGCTGCCTTGAAACATAAGCCCTCTAGGATGGAATGGCTGAGTTCTGAGAAGAGAGGGGGAAAGCTAAAAAGCTCCTCTCTTAAGAAATTGATTAGCAGTTTGAAGGAATTCTAGAAGTATGTGGGGAGATAAACACGAGGTGAAGCCTAAACCAAAACTCTAGTAATTTATTTTAAAACCAAATTAAAAAACCCAAAAAGATTGGGTTAAAAATCTCATCATGTCTCTTTTTATTAAAGGCTAACACTATCTTCTAGTGAATTTTCAAAGTGTTCTTTTAAAAAAATTGAACCAGTATTATTTCCTCTTGATCTTTCTTGAGTTCAGCTTGTGACTCTTACTAGGAAGAACTCTGCTGCTGCTGTTTTACATGATGTTACACTGTATTGCTTGATATGTTATAATTTATACAAATTGAACTTCTGTGCTCACCATAATATGCTGAATCTTGATATCAAAGATAGATCAGAAATAGGATAGTGGTGTACTTATGGGCTGCTTTTGGTGGATGATTTTTTGTGGTTTTTTTTTTGTTTGTTTTTTGTTTTTTGTTTTTTGTTTTTTTTAACACAAATGCAGTGTGCCAAGAAATTTTTCACTGAAATTTCTGTAATTCAATTTTATGTCAAGGGTTGGATTTTTAGATGCTACTCTAGTCCCTTTCATACCTGGCTGGAAAATCACTATGACAGAGAAGCTAGGGATTTCCCCATCAAGGGAAGTCCCCACTTGATGGTGAAGCAAATCTAGACCCACCTTTTGTTTTGAGGCACGTGAAAAAAATTTGCCCTCTGGCATATTGTCTCCAGGAAAACCATTATCCCTCCCAGTTTTCCTGCACAGTTAGGGGGCTGGGTATGTTACAAATGTTATGGAAGGCACCTCTTCTTGGCTTGTTGCTTCAGGTGTGTGCCAGGCATAGTTTATTCATACCCATATTCTCTCCACTGAGATAGTATGTAAGGTTAAAACCAGCACATCTCTCCAGCCACATAAATTTGGCTTAATTTTTTGTGAATTTCTTTTCCTTTCAGTCACTACATATAAGTGCATATGCCCATATGTACTTACATGAAAAGTGTGTATCCTCATATATAATATAAGTAAAGGACAGAGTATAAGGTCTGCATGAAAGCACAGAACTATTTTTTTCCCCAAAGTAGAATTTTTTGCTAAGTATTTACTATTAGCAAATGCAGCAAAGATGAGGTTCCCCCTAAATTTATATAATGCATATTTTCAAAAGATCTAAAAGCTTGATACATTGACTATATATAAAATTTTAAAAACTTGGACAGAAATCAATTCATTTCTATTCATTCTATTACCGTGGCCCTTTCCTGATTGCTTGGTGAAGTCCCAGATGCTTTCTACAGAGAGGGTTTTTCCTATGTCTAGAACTGTAGTTCTTCATTTTTTTATTTGTAGGGTTTACACAGTTTCCTTTCTAAACAATTCCTTTTCTTTCCTCACATTATTAGAAAATTAAATTTCATGGAGATCACTTGGGAGACTCAATAACCGGTGTTTTTTTAAATATTGTAAATATACAGTAAAGTAAATTAGTTATGTAAATTTAGGAGTTTCCTGGCAAAGTTGAAAGTAATCATCTAATATTTATCAAATTCCATTCTTTTCCAGGGATCTAATGGTTTGCCAAATACACAGGAAGATGATAAAGAGTATTTAATGTGCTGAATGATGGTATCCAGTGGGCTAGAGAAGAAAGCTCTGAATGAAATTTCGCTTCAATTTTATTTCAAGTTGACTTAAATGGGAATGTGTAACTAGTGGTTTGAATTGACCACCACACTAACTTTTACAACCAACATTTGCCAAAACTGACAGAAGATCTCTGATGTGTTTTCACTCCTTCACAGGGCAGTAGAACAGTGTTTTCAGCTCATTGTTCCTGAAGAGAGGTTGCCTCAGAGACAAGAGTGCTCCCGTGCAGGTCCCAGCCCTGTGCTTGATAACTCCCAGGCAGCTATGAATGAGATCCAAGGCTGTGGTATGGAATTGCTCATGAATGGTTGGTTTCACTGTGAACTGCGCTCTCAAGCAAGAGGAACATATTCTACCAACATTTTCTGATAACCCACACCACCCACATCCTCTGCATGTGAGAGGCAACAGGCAACAAGGATGATAAAGGCGCTGTGTATGCTCCCCGCAACTCACAGGTCACAATGAGGTTACTAATGATAGAAAACTCCTAAATGTTATCACTTGGCCCCCAGTGCAGGGCAACTCCCCTTCCCCTCACCTGGACTTTTTCTCTGAATAGCACATAAAAGGTTGTAAATGAAATTTGATGTTTGTTTTATGGTATCTGAATTACTCCGCTGGCACAGTGTTTGACATTACTGTATGCTGTAGAAAAAGAAATTGTTCTTGCATTAGGCTCAACACAGTGATGAAACAAGTTGCCCAGCACTATTCAGAGGAAGTCTATTGCTAGTCAAATTTGGATATCTTGCAAGTGCCACAAATTTGAGACCATCTTTAATCATTTAGTGCTTTCCTCCAGGTTTTGAGTGGGCAGTAATAAAATGACAGCAAAATGCAATGTTATAAAGAGAAGTTTCTCAGGGACCAGTCAACAAACTGATGACAGCAAAGAAAATAGAAGTGGCCCTGCTGTGGAAGGTTTTGTTTTCATTCTGTGTGCTAGGAGGAATCTGCTTTCTGCTTAGTGTGTAGAAATTGTGTGGTGTTTCTTTAAATAGCTGTCATTATCTGGTTTTAAGTGATTTGAAAATCACTGTGGCCCTGATAAAACAGGTAGCTGAACTGATGTTTGTATCAATAGAAAACAGTTTGTATGAACTCTAGAGTGCTAATGGAATTTCTTTAGAAGATGTTTGGCTTGGGCATAAAGGAAAGGCATTTAGATGATCTCAAAGGTTTTGAAAAATGTAAGCTGCTTGGTTACCCCCACCTCTCTTTGGTAGTTGGTCATTCCCTTCAGTATTTCAGGGCAACAAGAGACTGAATGTTCAATGATACCTAAAGTGAGGCTAATTTTGGTTGGAAAAGACTGTGACTTGCTTTTCCCACAGGCTTGTTTTCCTGATGGTAGTTTCTGGGACTTTCCCTTCCTGGAAAGTTGTTCTCTGCGGCTTGCCTCTCATCACAAGCTTTCTCTCCCATCTGGCACTCTCAGGAGCTAAGCCAGCTTTCTGCCTCGTCTCACTACTCCCACTCAGAAAAGTTTTCAGAGCAGAGTTGCACATACAATTGCAGGGGGGTTCTTTTTCTTAACCTAGACCTAGCACTGTAGAGATTTTCCACTCTTTTTGTGCAGGTACAAATGCTGTGCACAGTCTGGTTGACATGTCCAGTGTGGTCACTTAGGGAAGTGGAGAAGGTGGCTGTTTCATCTGGTTTTGCATTTGAATTCAAGTGGCAAAAACTTTGTCGGACTCTTGACTTTGCCACACAGCTACTGGTTTCCAGGAGTAAGAAACACATCATGGCTTATGAAAGAAAGGTTCACCTGTCTGAAGTCTCAAAATAAATCCTTGCTTGTTGGTGATAACTGGCAGATGCCTTCTGGAGGACATCATGAATGGGGAAGCAGAGATCTCTGGGAATTTGCCCTTAGAACAGGGTGACTTGTAGAGGGGCGAACAGAACAGCAGGTGGTGGAGAAGAAGAGTCAAATCTGTTGTGAGTTTTTGGTATAGGGGCATTAGACTAGAGGCAGCCACTGGTTTCACTTGTAACTGTGCTACACATGGCGGAGTTATTTGAAGATATAATGTAACCGTATTTGAATAAAACCATGCAGCATTTACTCTTGCCTTGGCATTTAGTACTCAAGCTTGC